AGATCCTAATTGAAGAATTGGCAATTATGGTATATTTCACCTTCTACTTATTATTTTATAAAAATTTTTCTTCTTTTGAAAAAGAACTCAAATTAAAACTCGGCAAATTCTTTAGCACATTTTTCTGTTGATGATATTCTCAATGCTTCTTCTTCGTAATCATCAAAATTACTTGTGTCGCCTGCACCCTTGCATCTAGGTATGAATGGCGCTTCTATTTTCTTCTGGAAAACAGCTATCCAATCCGTCGATGCAAACCATTTATGACCTTTTATATCATTCACTCCATTTTTTAAATTTCCATATCTTTTAGTTAGATCAACTTGGAGTAAATTTCTCAGTAGATCTTTTAAATCTGAGCCAAAGTGTGATGGAAATCTCACTTTACCAGATACTATTTTCTCATATATTTGTATTGGTTGATCAGCAAAAAATGGAGGATAACCAGCAGCCATTTCGTAGACGAGAACTCCGAGTGCCCACCAATCGACTGCTTTGTTATATCCTTTGCTCAATATTATTTCAGGTGCCAGATATTCTGGTGTACCGCACAGGGTCCATGTTCTTCCTTTGACTCTTTTGGCAAATCCGAAATCCGTAACTTTAAGATATCCTTGTGAATCAATTAACAGATTTTCCGGTTTGAGGTCTCTGTAAATGAGATCTAAGTAATGAAGATATTCAAAGGCAAGCACTATTTGTGCAGCGTAAAACCTCGAATGAGGTTCGCTGAATCTTCCTACTTTTCGAAGATGTGAAAACATTTCTCCACCGGGTACGTAATCTAAAACCATGTAAAGATTCGAATTGTCTTTGAAATGATATTTTAAGCTTACTAAAAATGGAAAATTGATAGCTTGCAAGATACGCTTTTCGTTAAGAGTATGTTCTACTTGTTTTAATTTAACTACTTTTTGTTTGTCTAATATTTTCATAGCAAAGTATTCTTTTAAGTTTTTATGTTGAACGATCATAACTCTACCGAAGGAACCGGTTCCAAGAGTTTTGATTCTTTCAAAATCATCCAATTCAGCTGTATTGGATGATACATTTTTCCACTTTTCTTCGAAATCTTCCTTGGCTTGATCGAGAAATTCTTTAACACTTTCAACGGGATCGCACTTTTTATTCGAAGTGGGGGCATTTCCCATTTTTGTAACGTCTTTCTTTTCCAGGACGTTTTAACACTTTTTAATTTGATGTTGTTTGTCACATCCTGTTTTAACCTTTTCAACGTTATCTGACAATTTTTCAAGTAAAAAGGCACACCTGTTAGCATAGCCGGAATTATTACTCTTATACCTCAACATTTTTTTTATTACATTTTGTGCACTCTTGAAAATTATTAATTACCCGTAATTCACAGTGTTTATGTGCGTTAATTAACATTTGTGTAAAAACGCGAAAGAAAAAATTAAAATATATAAACAGTTTCCTTTCTAATTAAAGTGAGCTCTTTAAGATAGAGAAAAAAAAAAAAAAATGGAGAACTCACGGGTCAATCGATAGTTCGTAATTTCACCGTATGAGTACGTTAGTGATTGTCTAATACTCAAGGTTATTCGTGTCGTCTTATGAATAAGGAACACTACTGCACTCTACAGAGAAAATTTTTAGGCTACAAAAACTTTTTTTTTTTTTTTTCTCATAATTTTATCTAAGAATATATATTGAGGGGCTTTATTGATTTACAAGAAAAAAAAAAAAAAACCTGTTCTTACATAAAAACCAAACAATCGAGTTATTATTATTTTCTTTTAAATAAAAATTTAAAAGATACTAAATGCATTTTCATTTTTCCCCTTAACGAAAAACTATTTAACTTCCGGTTTCGTTATACACACGTTATAGCTTTTACTTTTCCCTCACATTAAAAAAAAAATTCAAATAAAAATTTTCCGCAACTTTTTTTGTTTTTTTTTTTAAATAGAAAACTTTTTTTATAAAACCGACATTTTGAATTTGGCTTTCATT